GATGTAGAGAAGGTGTTAAAAAGGCATTGTTCCCTTGGGGCCAGCAAGTGGCATGGTGGTTAAGCGTGCTGGACTCCCACATGGCCAACTGTGGTTCGAGTCCTGGACCTGGCAGTTTGCTTTCTCACTTTCTCTCTGTTCTCTTGCTCTCTCCTCCTCTCTGGTCAAATTAAAATGAATAAAGTTAAATAAAATAATTTAAAAAAGGCATCGCTCCCCTCCACCACAGGTTCACCGTGGAGTGAGCCTGCCACATGCGGACCTGGCCGCTTCTCCCGGCTTCTCCATCGTTTGTCTTCAAGCCTCGAGATGGGTCAAGGCTCGGCTGAGCTGAGATCAACCATTTCCTCTTGTAGGTCCTCTACCTCCTTGACTCTTAAACACCTTATCTGTGGCCAGCAGCCAGGGATGTCTGGAGTCTGATGTTCAGAGCAGGCACTAGGCTGGGGATGTCAACTCGGCACAGAGTTTTATTTATTAGTGGTTTGTTTATTTATTTAAATTTGCTAGAGTGCATGTGCTGCAGACAGATGTGCACCCTCACCACCCCCAGCGGGACACGGTCACCCAGAACAACCACCTCTCCATCTCCGTCCTGTCGGGATTTGGGGCACCCACACCTGGTGTGCTTTGCAAGCAGCTGGAGTCAGGACCCAGACCATGAGGTCAGCCATGTGGGATCCAGCTGCCTGACCATCAGGCCATGGAGCCGGCCCCCTGGGAGTGGATGAGATAGTGAGGACTATGAGGAGGGCAAGAGGTTGCAGATCTCTGGGACCTATCGCTACTTAGGGGAGGGCCGGAGGACAGAAAGCCCCAGCAGGACTGACTGGAGGCCATGGAGGGAGCTGAGGATGAGGCCAGGCTGCACTGTCACAGGCTGCGGAGAGGTGGGATGGCTGGGTGAAGGACGGAGACTGAGAGGAGGGTCCCTAGAAGCCTGGGGCTAAACTGTGAGAGCAAACTAGCGCTCAGGCTGTCCCCACTTTGGCCAAGACACGTTTATTTCTTGTTTCTGTTTTTATTTTTTATTATTATTATTTTTAGCTTATTTCTTCCATGAGCTGAGAGAGAGCACTCCCAGCCAGGCCTTCACGTAGGGTCCCCCACTCCTCCTCAATGCTCCAGGGTCAGGGCACTGCCCCTCACTCAGGGAGGCCCAGGAGCCCAGGAGCCTCCCTGTGGCCTGGCCCCCCAGAGGTTGGGCTCAGCCGCCACTGGCCCCCAGACCCATTTTTCTCTCTTCCCTTTTAGGCTTCTGAATAAGATTTTACTTGAACAAAGGAACGTAGTGCTTAGAACGAACACCTGGTTCTCCAAGGGGAGCCGCTTGGAAACCTAAAGGCAGGTACCCAGAGTACATACTGTGCTGACAGACCCAGACAGGTAAACCTGTGCTCGGCGAGGAGACATGGCCTGCCCTGAAAGGCAGTCTTAAACCCTCTCGGCAAATTCCACGGTCACCCAGAAATCCAGAAAATGGGGCATACGCGACCTGAGCCAGCCGCCCGAGGAATGGTGTTTCAGATGGGATTGTGTGATCCTTCGTGGTCCTCCAGGCCGGCCCCGCCGGCCCGGGCTCATCCCTGGACTGCAGCCTGAGACTTTGCATGTGAATGGCCAGGAGAAGGGGGGGGGGGTGGG